ATATTTCTTTCAACACACATCCCCACCTTGAGGTCTTTGTATAGGCGGTTCCCTCTGTGCAGACTTCTTTTTCTAAGGCTCTCCCTCTTCCCCTCCTCTCTTTACCTTCTCTATCTGCTGAATCTGTTTATTCTGCAGGATTCAGATCCAACAGTACCCCTTGCATTTCTAGCTCTCCCAGACCTAGATGTTGACTGCATTTATAGTAGAGCATTTACCAGACTTTTTCTGTAATTACTGCAACCCCTCTGCCTGCCCCCTCCCTTCCCCCAAGCTAACTCGTAGCAGGTCAGCCACACAGCAGGTGCTGGGTAAGAGCCCGAGGAGTGCAGGGCTCCTTGCCAGCTCGGCTCCTGGCACAGGCTCCCTGGCCTGGCCCTGGCACTGCTAGGGGAGGATGGCTGAGCCCCAAAGTGGCTCTCCTGGGATCAGGGAGAGGGACTTTTCCTGTCTTCCAGGAGGCGCTAATGCACTGACATAGGGCAGGGAGGCAGGCGGCCGTCCCAGGGGGGTCACCAGGGACCTGCAGTGTGGCCTGCACGTCTGTGGAGGTGAAGATGGGCTGGTGTCCGTGTGCACATGTGTGGCAGCCCAGCCGGAGCAGCGTGGGGAGCTGCGGGACTTGTCCAGGGCCAGCCAAGGACAAGGGCACTCAAGGGGAGAGGAGACAGTGGCTCCGACTGGAGAGCCTGGGAGCCTTCCAGGGCCCCACAGAGCCAGGCCCAGGCCCCGGTGCTCCGCCTCTGCAGGTGGCCGTCTTAGGGAGAGAGCCAGAGGCCCCAGGTCTGAACCCAGGGGTCGAGTTGGATGTGACCTGGGGAAACGGCTGGCAGGGATGTGGCTTAAGACCTGTCTCCCACCCCCAGTCTCTTCCATGAACCCCTGGCCAGGAGACCTGAGAAGGGTTAAAAGTTGCAGATCAAACAGTGAAGCAATTCATTAAATTCACACACGGCCCTCTGCACAAGGGTCCTCATCCCATGAAGAAGTTGTCACTCGCATCTTTACAGGGTGTGAGGTGGGTGGAGTGACTTGCCCAAGGTCACCTTCCAGAAAGCAGTAGACCCAGGTGACAGCCTCTAGTGTGGGGTTTGGTCCTTACTAGGTGCTCAGTACATATAACGAAAGAGCAAGGGAATGGACACAATGACCCAGGTCTCCTGAGTCCCATCCGAACACCCTTTGTACCTTACCATCTCCAAACGTATCCACCTGGGACAGCTCAAAGTCTGGTTTGAATTTAAGAAACACCTGCAAAAAGATGAGCCATTTCCTGGAGGGAGCTTGTGGCTCTAACAACCCCCAAATCCCGTGGGTAGGTACCATTTATCAGCTAAGAGAGGATCTGGGAATACCCCCTTACTACTGCTATTTGAACACAGCCTCATTTTGGAGTAAAAAACCTGCCTCTTACAAATATGAGAAAAACAACAGTATTTACTCTTTAAATGTCTAAAATGTTTTAAAACCAATTAAAGGGAAAAAAAGTGCAAACCCTGCCAGAGTGTATTATTTGTTCTTTCCCTTATTTTTCTCCACCTCCCAAAAGACAGGGGAAAACAAGGCCGCATTTCCCAGGTTTAGATCATCTGATACTTTAAGGAAGAATAAATGGGCTACCCCTTACAAATTGCAGCCGCATCAAATGGATTCCTTTTGAATGAACCTGGTCACCATGGTGAGGACTTCCTGTAGCCGAATAAAGACCAAAGCGGAATTCCCACAGCCTTCCCCCAAGGTCACTCTGAAAATCAGTGGCAGCACTAGCGTCAGACCTGGGAATCCCTGACTCTGCTCTCTCTGTCCCTCCGACAGCCGGCAGGTAATGATACGTGTTAACTGTCACTGACACTCCGGCTGGCCAACACCAAGTTCCAAGTTCCTGCACCTGTTAGACTGCCAAACTACCCCCACTTTTCTAGGGCTGTTTATTTAGAAAAAGGAGCTCAGCTCTGACTGACTCAGAACTAGGAGCCAGTCTGGCAACTTGGAAGTTGAATGTCTGGGAGGGTCGAGAGACAAAGAGACTGTGTTTTTACCTCCATTTGCCAAGACCTCCATTCTAGACCTTATCTGCCTCACAGTAGCTGTGTGACCTGGACAAGTTCCACCACCTCAATTAGCCTCAGCTTCCCTATCTGTAAAATGGGGAAATACCATGAAGACAGTTAGTGCAAGGCTCAGAGTAAGAAGGGAATATGGAATGCACAAGACTTCTTTGATCCTGTTACCTGCAAACTGGAGACAGTAATTCCTACTTCACATCGCATTAGATGAGCCTGGGAAATATAGGTACAGATGTATCTATATGTTGTGTAGACTAAAAAAATAGGTACTCTTTAAAAGAAAACCCGAATTCATCCTTTCACGTGCTGTTAAATGGAACTTGGAAGTTTATACTTATTATTTAGGAAAGCTAATGAAATACTATGTTTTCGTTTTCTCTTTGAAAATGATCTCTGAACTTGAAAACTGAGCTGGAACAATCAATTAGTATATTCTCTACACACAAATGATCCTTCTGGAGACAAATGAGTCAAGAATTGAGAGATAAATGACCAAAAATAGCCTAGAAACTCACATGGGACTGACTTCTTTGTCTCCCGGATCTGAGTGATCGCACACTGGCCTGCCAGATCACCCCCGTCCCCGGAACCCCCGCGCTGAGGCCTCAAACTGGACAATGCTGAAACCGACCTCTTGGTGTGGCCGTCAGAATGACACACACCTGAGCACTAGACATGCAGCAGAAGCTCCACGTGGGAGGAGGGACATGGAGATGAACCTTGAAGCTCCTGTGCAGTTTGAGGAATTATAAGGATTAGAAGCATCTGGAAGAGCGTGATTAGTGTCCTCCAAGAGGACCAGAAAAATGGGTGTAATCTCTGGATGTCTGGGTTTGAAATACAGCTCCAAACTCTGCCACCTAATATCTGTGTGATGTTGAGAGAGTTACCTCATCTTGCTGGGCCTTGATTTCTTCCTCTGTAAAATGGAAGCACTATATATTTTTTTTGGATCACAACACTGGTTGTTTAGGAGGCTCACCTGAGGAAGGGTTAAAAGCCTTTAAGACTATAAAGCAATGCCTATGTATGAGCCTCCATGACTATGTCAGGGACACAGACTTGGGGCAGGGCTAGCTAACAAGGAAGCGCAGGTCGTGAGTACTTACTCCCTTTCTGGCATTGCCTGTAGGTGCATGTTAATGACCCCACTTTGTGCTTGCACCAGACTCCAAGGGGAGCTGCTATTATTACGTCCATGTATTGGGGGGGGGGGGGAATTAAGGTCCAGAGAGGTTAACTAGCTTGCCCAAGGTTGCACAGCTAATTAGCCATGGCAGTGGGATTGGGACCCAGGCAATGGGACTCTGGAGTCCAGGCTCCTAACCTTTAAGCCACGGTGTCTCTGTGAGCCACAGGACCTCTTCCCCGGCACCTCCACTCCCTGATCTGTAACATGGGAATATCACACTCACCTCAGGAGGCTGCTTTGGGGATTGAAGGAGACAAGTAATGAATACAAATCTCTTGTTGCAACGGATAACTTCACATAGTAGGTGCTCAATAACTGACTGCTTCCCAGCCTTTCCCCAAGACCTGCTGTGACTTTAGGTGACACGGTGTAAGGAATCGTGGCACAGCCAGGAACTGCCTAGACCAGTGGTTCTCAACCTTCCTAATGCCGCGACCCTTTAATACAGTTCCTCATGTGGCGGTGACCCCCAATTTCATTGTTACAAATCGAACATAATTCAAGCATAGTGATTAATCACAAAAACAATATGTAATAATATATGTGTTTTCCGATGGTCTTAGGCGACCCCTGTGAAAGGGTTGTTCGACCCCCAAAGGGGTCATGACCCACAGGTTGAGAACTGCTGGCCTAGACAGACACCTGAGAACAGTACAACTCAGTGGTTACAAATAGGAACCCAGGTGTCTGGACTGCCTGAACTCCTATCCTGGCTCTACTACTTACTAGTCCTGTGGTCTTAGGTGTGGTACTTCACGTACCTGTGCCCGAGTTTCTTTATCTGTAAAATGGGCATAATGGTACCCACCTTGCAGGGTTTGGGTAATAGTGGGTGTTAATTAATCTGTGCGAAGCACTTAGAACAGTGTCAAGCACATGGCACACATTCCATCAACACTAGCAATGATGACTTGGATCAGCACCCTGCATGTTCTGGGGGGCTCAGGGGCACCCCTGGGCCTTCGGTGGGCTGTGTGTTTTATGCTGCACACCCTCCATCTCCTTGCAGACCCCAACCAGATCCTGGAAGGGTGGCAATCTCTACTGCCTGGCCACACCACGGGCTAGATGAACTTCAGAGGAGGTGCAGTCTCTCATGGGAGGGGCAGTGGGGATTTGAAAATGGTGACAAGGGCAGTGCACACCCCCCCCCCCCCCCCGCCTCTGAATTGCTGTGCTTTTTGCATTTGGAACCATATTTTGACTGGGCTGAGCGAGTTGTTTTATTTCGTTTGCTTTGGACAAAAAATGAGGCCCCATAAATAATTGCCGTGCACGTGAAGAAGCAGAGGTGTGTCCTCACCCAGCTAGGAACTGCCCTCTGCAAGATTTTGCTAGAAAACTACAGGAAGGGCATCGTTTGCTTCTTGTGGAGAGAGGGACAGAGAGAGAGGCAGCGAGAGAGGGAGAGAGAACAGGAAGAATACAGGTGCAATTCAGGCACACAGTATCTGGTAATTGCAGAACCAGAGCGTTCCCACAAAGCCTTGCTCCAGTCCCCTCCATCCCCGGACCTCGCTTCTTGTTCATCCCAGGCTGCCATGCACACCCGCGGAGCTTCAATCTCAGCGCGACAATCCGCTCGCCCAGCGAGCGCCCGGCGGGACTGGGATTGGAGGCGCGGATGCTGTGAGCCCGGAGCCCACGCGCTGCCTGCGGTCTCCCCGCCCCGGGATGCGGGGACGCGGGGACGCGGTGTCCGGGAAGGGCGCCCCCTCCCTGCGGCCGCCCGGCGGCCCTACCTGAGCTGGCGCGGCTCGCAGTCCACGCCGGGCAGCAGCAGCCGGGCCGCTTGGCGGACGTCGTCGCTGTCCATGGAGAAGCTGCGCCGGTGGCCGGCGTGCGCCACGGCCACCCGGATCCACTCCATCAGTGGCGGCAGAACGAGGAAAGGCCTGCGGGAGGGCGGGGGGGGGGGGGGGCGAGGAGAAGAGTTAGCGGGGGCGCGGGCTCAGCTCCACCCCCTGCCCCCCACCCCGCTTTCCCCGGAGGCCCTGCCTCTGAATCCCCGAGAAGTGGGAGAGCCTTTGGAGACATCCCGACCGCTCCGGTGACTTCGGGGCTGGCTCTCCCGAGCCTTTGGGCCTCAGTTTCCTCATCTGTAAACCCAGGATAAAGTGACCGTGAAAGGATACGATGGGGCGATTCTCTGAGTGTTATCTCCCTCGGAGATCATGTGAACCTAAGGGAGATGACTCACTTAAAGCACCAAGCGCAGGATCTGGTGCTTAGTAGAACCCCCCTCCCCCCGCCCTCATGCGGGGGGGGGGGGGGGGTATTGGTACTTGGGGCTCCCTGTTCTGGCCCCAATGTTAAGGCGTCCTTTGGCTCTCCCTTCCCATCCCCAGCTGGCTCCCTGTCTTCCCTCTGGTGCCCTCCCAGGCCTCAGCTCTGCCCGAGCCCCAGGCTGCCAACGGGCTTTAGCACCTTGGAAAGGCGCAGAGAGCCAAGTCAGCAGGCAGCCGCCAGCCACAGCCAGCAAAGCGAGGGCCTGGGGGGGAGGGGCGCGGCTTGGCCGCACACCCCAGCAGCTCTGGGCTCCTCACCTGCTAATGGGATCACAGCGGGGCGTCCGACTTATTGCAAGAATTAGCTGAGGCAATGCCTGTGGCCCAACTGTAATTTCCTAAGTGGAATACATTTGTGCCACCTTCCTGTTTCTTCCTCTGATTATTAGAAACGGCCCTCACAGTAGGGTTTCTGGGGAGGGGTGGCAGGGCTTGTGAAAAATGATGATACCTGAGTTCTATCGCAGGGAGGGACTCTGATTTTTTTTTTTAAATCCTCACCTATGGATATGTATTTATTGATTTTAGAGAGAGTGTGGGAGAGAGAGAAAGAGGGAGAGAGAAACATCGATGTGAGAAATATGGATTAGTTGCCTCCTGTAGTGCCCCGACCTTGGATCGAACCCACAACCCAGAAGTGCGCCCCAACCGAGAATCGAACCTGCGACCTTTGGGTGTACCAGAGGACACTCCAACCAACTGAGACACCCGGCCAGCGCGGGACTCTGATTTCATGGACAGTTTTTAAAACCTCCCCCATGTGAACTGAATGTGCATCCAAATTATTGGGAGGGTTTGTTAAAATACAGATTGCTGGGCCCCACCCCTAGAGTGTTGGATTCAGTAGGTCAGGAGAGATGGCCAAAAATTTGCGTTTCTAGCAAATCCCTGGATACTGCTGATGCTACTGGGCTGGGGGCCACACTCGAGAAACTTCTGCTCTGAAGTATCGCCAGAGGGCTTGGGAATCACCTGGTATGTGAGTATGTGTGTGTGTGTGTTAAAATGCTCATTCCCAGCCCTATCTCCATAGATGTTAGCTGCATAGGGTCCAGGAATATAATTTTAATAAGCAGGCTCTGTGATATGATTTAGGCAGACCAAGGACTGCACTTTGAGAAACACACTGTGTAGATCAAGAAGGTATCTTACCACGCAGCAGGGCTGGGATTAGGGTGAGGCAAATGGGGCAAAATTCAAAGTAGCCAGATCATTCATGCAAATATGTTCTAGGTGCCTCTCTGGCCTCATCCTCACCCTGGTGCCACCACTCAGGCCATCATGGTTGCCATGGGAGCGAGGGGGTGGTAAACAGAAGGGTTTACAAGCAGCAGATCCCGAACTGCATGCAGATGTTGTGAGCTTCCCACCAAGTTTTTGGCAGCGGGTTCCAGTTTTTCTGGATTCCAGACCTAGTTATCCAATGTCAATGATAATAAACAGCTAAGCCTTTTAAAAAAATCTTTCGTGATCTCATCTAAATGCTTAGGACCAGCCTACGAGCTAGTTATGATTTTGCCTATTTTCTAGATTAGGAGAATGGTGTTTATTGAGGTTAAGTAGCATGCCCTGGATCAGAGGGTTAGCAAGTCTGAGAGAGCTGGGAGTCAGACCCACGTCATTTGACTGCATAGCCCACGTGCCATAACCCCATGTGGTAGCGACATTCTTTTGCCCAACTTCCCAGCACACACTGTTACCCAGCATCCACCTGTTCCCCCGGGGTAGCTGATCTGGCCATGGACCCCTCCCTGATGTTGTGCCATGCTCAGTCCTGTCCATGCAGCTCAGACCCCCGTCTGACAGGCCTCCAGCCCTTTCAGAATGTACACTCCACTTAGCCTTCAAAACACAATTCAAATCCCACCTCTCCCTCACCATTCCTCCTGGTGACTCCGCTGTACCTGGCTCCCTCCCAGGGCAGACTCCACTGCACAGGCCTGACCCCATGGCTTTGCAGATGCCCCATTAGAACGTAGACTCCACGTGGCAGGGACCTGGGGGTGCTCAGTTCATCAGTGCAGCCCCAGCCCCAGGACAGTGCCTGGCAGGCCACAAGCACTTCATCAATATTTGTTCATGAGCCAGACTAAGATTTACCCACTTTTTACTGGGTGAAGTGGATAAAAAATTGAGTTTCTGGGCCCAGGGACCTGTGGGGGCAGATTCCTAGGTTATTTCTGCCTGGATTGGCCTGCGGCGTAGGCTGTCGCCCTCATCCTCTCATTCTCTCCATCACCTAAACCGAATCAGGCACTCAATAAACACACCCTGAATTAAAATTGAATTGGAGTCTACTGTCCTAGGTGAGCAGGACTTATTTTTGGCACTGTGTCTCCATCACTGCTGAAACCAGCCCCGAGTGCTCAGAGAGAACTCCCCTGGGTTGCTCTGCAGAGGCAGCAAGCCCCCCCCCCCCCCCCCCCCCTGCTCTGCAGAGGCAGCCCCCCCCCCCCCCCCCCCCCCCCCCCCCCCGCCTTTCCTCTGGTGCCCCTGAAGTGCAGCCCACAACTCCCAGTCCCTGGGGCTGGGACTCCATCACAGACTCCCCTTGGCTGCTGACTTGCATGTGAGATGCTGAGCAGCAGGCAGGCGGCTGACTCCTAATGAGTGCCTAAGAGGAGAAAAAGGCTGTGCCGCCTGCAGAGCCACGCCTTGACCAAGACGGCCGGCCAGCACCAGGATAAGTACCCCGGATCCTAGGGTTCCAGCCCCTCCTGGAATTTTCTATGTACCTATTCTCGCCTTCCCACATTGCCTTCTTTTCGTCACTCTGACCTCAATAGCTTAGAAGCTCATGAAGTCTTTGCCAGCAACTCATTTAAAAGTCTTCTTATCTGGTCTACACAGAGGGGGAGAAGTAGGAGGGCTTGTGATGTTTCTTTGGGAGGAGCTGGAGATGGGAAAGAATTCCAGGGCCTTGAGTTGAGCAGGTAAAGAATGCCGAAGGGAAAAAAGACTGCATTCTCCGTATAGGTTTTGTAAGAGAACATTGTCCCACTGGCTACAGACGTGGCTCTGAAGTTGTCTGGAGTGACTAAAGCCTAGAGGAGCGCATGGCTTAATGAAGTGGCCCTTTAGGCTGTTTTAACATCAGAATCATGGGGGAGTGTGTGAAAACCTCCAAGGCCCTGTTTTCACCCCCAGAGTTTCGGTTCGACAGGTCGGGGGCCCGGGCATCTGTATTCTATACAAGCTCCTCTGGGAATTCTGGAGCAAGCCAGGTTTGAGCATCCCCCTGTGACCAGGTGGCCTGGGGTGAGTAGGGGGGATACACATTCAATGCTATGGCGCTCGAAGAGAAGGCCTGTGGGGTGGGACCAGAGGCTCCGGAGGGAAGGAGAAGCCTAGATGGCTTCTTGCAGGGTCAAGAGAACAAGTGAGCCCAGGAAGGTCGTTGGGCCCAGATGCAAGTAGGAGATTGAGCGCATCCACAGCGGGGCCTTTCTGAAGCATGAGGACAGAGCTGGTGCTGCGGGTGACCGTCTCTGGTTGGGGAGGGCTGGGTGCTAAGGAGGAGGGTATAATCTGTGGGAGAAGCGAGGTGTGGGGTTCTGCAGAACTGAATTCCAGTCCTGGTATCTGGACTCACAGTGGGACTCTGGCTCTGGTCTGTAAACGCCTGTCTGTCAGTGACTTCATCTGTAAAGTGGGTAGATTTGGGCCAGATGGTCTGCTTCAGGGGTTGGCAGACCTTTTCTGTAAAAAGCCAGAGAGTAAATATGTTGGGATTATGGGCCATTCTGTCTCTGTTGCAATGATTCCACACTGCCACTGTAGTAAGAAAGCAGCCACAGAAAATGCATTCATGAGTGAACGTGGCTGTGTTCCAGGAATACTTTATGCACAAGATCAGATGGTGGGTAAGAGTGGGCTGACCCTCGGTATATTTGGTTCCTTCCTACTCAAAATTCTTTGATTCTATTGTCATAGCCAGCTGCCTGGGGGCTTAGGAAGGGTCTAGTGCAGCGGTCGCCAACTTTTCGGACCTCACGGACCATCAGTGTTCCACGGACCACCGGTTGGTGACCGCTGGTCTAGTGTATGGAACAGGGAAGATGGGAAGAAGCATGTGAAGGTGCAAGTGATGGGGACAAAAAGTTTGCAGTCTTACAAGGAGACAGGTAAGAAACACATAAAGTTACAAGTAACAAAGTGATTATAAATCGTGATCAGTGCCGAGGTGCTGGGATAGACAATAAACAGGGTTGAAGTGGGAAGGCCTCTCTGAGGAGGTGACCGAACCTCTAAGATGCGAAGGATCTGCCATATGCAAATGTGTGTGCAGAAGGATGGACGTTCTAGGCAGCCATAACAGACTGTGCAAAGGCCCTGAGGCAGAAAAGGCCTTCACATCTTACCAAGCACTTTCACATGCAGCATATCCTATTCGTCACTCCAGGATATGTGTGAGGAAGGATCACCGTGGTAGGCTGAGTAGTGGCCCCCAAAGACATCAGGTCCTATTCCCCGGAACCTGTGGATGTTGATGGCAAAAGAGACTCTGCAGGTGTGATTCAGTTAAGGATCTTGAGAAGGGAAGGTTACCCTGGAGCATCCAGGTAGACCCTCAATGCTACCACCGGGGTCCTTATAAGAGAGAGACA